GGATAAATATTTTCATTTTTTTAAATGTCTAAATTCATGTAATAATATATTCTTATTAAATAAGAAGGGACAATAAAATCACTATTGAATAAAATTCGATTTTTTTATAAGGACTGATACGAATTTTTCCATCTTTCGGAGAAAGATGATATTACATACGCCTCTGAAGACTGAGTGTGTCTTAACCCTCGTCGTAACGTCCCTCGAAATCACATTTTAACGAGGATTGAATATTTGTATAGGGATTTGATCGTCRGTACGGTCATGCGTATGACACATTTTTAAAATCATATTTATATTACACATTTTTTTTATCACACCATCGCCGAAAGTTTATTTTTTTATGCCAGTTGAAGTGATGGAAAATGATCGTTTTTCGTCCAACGAACAGTATASACTTTTTATCCACACCCCACATAGCAGACAGTCAGTGGTTGAAAAAGTCACTGACTACTCGTAAATCCGATTTATGTGTGTGTGCGTATATCGATACGTTTTGTGTAATATTATATTAAGCACTACCCATGGTAGAGTTAATAATACTGTGTTAGTCTCCCGTTCTATGTAAAACAGTTTGATGAATCTGAAGATACCGAACCAAAAACAGTTCATCGTAGATTGCTCGAATTATCGTCGATATGTCGTTTCTGAGATATTAAGAATTCAAGACATTAGAAAAGATTCAAATGTACAAGGAAATTTCAGTCTTAGGAGATTCTCCTGTGGCCAGACGTATTGGAATCTGTACCATACTACCATTATCTAGATGGCTGTAAAAATGATGTCTTTAATAATAAATTAATTTATTCAAAATATTTGGTATACATATTTTTAATTTGAACTTGAGGTTATAAAAACTGTTCATTTAATACACCACTCCCTCCACAACTCTTAAAAGTTGTAATTTTTAAAACTTTCACGTCCTGTCTAAAGTGGCTCACTTGTTGCTCTCAAATTGCATACATGCACAGTTAACTCAATAATATTGGCAAAAAAATGTAGTCTAAACGAACAAAATGTCCAGTGGCCTTAAATTGTTTTTTCAGCCCACTACTTAGCTTCTCGACTGCGAATCGTGCCACACACTTCGTCATCCGCTGTTGGAGAAATAGTTTATCATTTCCTACTCACGGCACACAATCGACTATTTTTTATAGTCTATACGTGGTGTATAGTGAGAGGAGCTGTCACCATGGGTGGGGGGAGGGGATAGGGGACAGACCCAACCATTTTCTCAAGGTACCTACAGATTTCCATGTATACGAGCTGCATGGCAACAATAATGCCTCACTTAAAATAGTGATTTCCCTCATTGACAATGTGTTTTGGCTACAGCTCTGGTCGCGTGTTAATTATTTTAATTTGCRACGATGTTGGGGTGTTTACCATCGTGTCACTGTCGACGATTATTCGCAAAGGACGGTGGACGTGACAATGTCATATATATATGAGCGCGTGATGAGTATTTTGGCAAGCGATCACACGATTTTTTTTTTGCTTCACACTTATATAATAATATAATCTATTATAATAATAATACGCATATATTTGCAGCACGCGTGACCAATAAACCAAACTCCGAGCCACCGCCGGTCTCGTAAACGTTGCGTGACGTGGATTCGCGAGTCGTCTCACCGTGGCATGTTATTATAGGTACAAATTTTGCATACGTCCATATAACTATTTTGTTAGTAATTTTTATTGTAATTATTTGGATGTATATTTTTCACGTAGACAGCGATTGTGGTTCATATTATAATATTATCTATAATATCATATATTAATATTATATTTTTTATATTATTTTGTCGGCCGTTACGGCTTTCATTATTCGCAAGCATTTAATTATGCAGTTCAAAGTGTTATGACATTTTGACAACTATTGTCGATGCGGTCCAAACCAGTGATAAAAAATTGGTGGCACGAGAACGAACTTTATCTGGACCGTGACAAGAATTTTATTTTTTAAATTGCTTTTCTTGATGGTGAATTAAATTAGATTTGTACAAGGTATGGCTTTGATCTAAATTTCTGACTTTATTTTTTAGATTTTTGAACGGTGCGAGGAATGTATTGATTTTACAATGAHGTGTATCTTTCATCATATTTTGGGATAGTGAAAGTCCTTAGATTTTATTCAACAGTATCTTTTCTGCAAGTAGGAAAGTGAATCTAGTTGGTATTTTGGGAGGTTAAATAAAACTGTCAAAAAATAAAGAAAGAAATTATCCACTTAATTTCAAATCTTCAATCTATGAGTAGTATTTGTGTGTTCACAATGAATTTTTCCACGGTATAACTTCATTATAT